ATTAATTTCTACTTTATCATTTATATTCATCAAATTTGAATGTTGGTGAGAAAAATAAATTTAAAAAGCAATGATGTGATTATGAATTGAATTTACATATCAAAATAAATAATTAGTAAATATAAACGCAAGGTTGCTTTAAAAAAAATATAAACTTGTGGATCAATTTTTATATTTAAAAATTCCAAATCATGATATGGAATTCTCATATTATGATTTTTGGAGAATATGATATTCCATCTCTGTAACAAACTGAAATCCTCACTATATTGATAAGAGCACTAGAACAGGATTACAACCTTAAGATTCTAATTAAATAATCAAACTACCGAATTACAATGGAAATATTGAAATAACGAGTAATTAAAGATAGAAGAAGAATGAAGATGAGGACTTAGATTCTAGAAGAAGAGGAGAAGACAAACATTTCTTCCAACTCATTCTGCGTTTAAATCAAATGTTAATTGGGTCTGAATTTCGAATAAAACACTCCAATATTTTACTCAGCCCAAATTTATTTCTCAGTTCTAACTCATAGGCCCTTATAGAGCTAGCTTGGTTCACAACAATCTCATAATAAGAAATTATGAGATGAAATTTACGTGAAATTGCATGTCAAATACTGATTCCTTCTCATGATTCAAAATTGTAATATGACATCACACGATCAAACGTCTACTTAAACAAAGTTGACAGACTTTTTCTCTAACAAAGAATGATTTATGATTATCTTAGTATAAACAAACTATAATAGCTTAGTGAACTTTCATAATGATATTTAGATAAAGACGAATAATTATTATTTTGTTGTTCTCTTGTTATATACGTAATCTAACATACACATTTCTTTAATCATATCTTGATTAATCTCTTTTTAATTGTGTGATTTTGACTTACTATTTTTTTCTCAACTCTATGTTACACTACAATAAAATAGTGGAATAATGCATCACTATTCTTTCTAATTTTCATATTTTCTTGATTTTCACTTATTTTAACAGTAACAATGTCTAGAGAATTTTGTCAAGAAGTCCTATGAAAGTATTCACTATATAGAAGTTAACTTCTATTTGTGATTTTAATTACATGACATTCTAACAAAAGAAATATAAAAAATTGATCAAACAATTTGATCATTATTTTGGTGTAAGTATGATAAAGTGACAAGTCATGTGAGTAAAAAGCATACATTTTGAATTATACAAACATCAAATACGAATAAATTTTTTCAGTAACAACATACTTATATATTAGTTTTCTAATATCAATAGATTCTTTTCCCCATTTTTCCTACTCAAAATCTAAATCAATCATTGCGATTAACTAAAGATCTTTTTATTATAATAAACAGTATAACACATAAAAATAACGTGCATCAAACAATTTAACTTTAGTTACAAATTAAAGCCAAAAAAACACATCAAATAAATGTATAAAGCAAAACATGACATACGTCTTATATTCATCAATTTAATGTAGACACCAGATACACGTATTAATTTTTCCATACCCAAAGATCTTTCCCATTTTGCCAACTCAAACTACATTTTGACCCTTCTTCTTTACCCATCAAACAAGAATAAAGCTCATCAAGTACCAAATTAGACTCACAATTATTATTATTATTATTATTATTATTATTTACAAATGAACAACTCACATCTTCTTGAAAACTTGAACTCCCTCCTTCTTCACAATTACCACTAGAAATAGAACAAGGAAATATCCCTTGTGCTAATTCATCTTGAATATTAGCTTGTTTAATGGCAATTAACATCTCATTAACCTTCTTCAACTCGATTTTTAGACGTTCATTTTCTTTTTCTATTTGCTTTTTCTCAGCTAATGTAGTGTCTAGCTTGAGTTGGAGTGTAGTATAGTCGAGCTCGAGGCTTTGGTTCTTCCATCTAGCTCGTCTATTCTGATACCTGTTGAAGATATAATTATATAAAAAAAAAAATTTTAAAAAAAAGAAATAATTGAACCTATGCTTATACCACTATACAAAAAATAGAAACTATCGTACAAGTGCCACACCTAAGCCACCCTTGTTTAGAAAGTCAATTGACACATTTTTATCAAAAAATTACTCTATGTATACATATAGGTTTATTTTATTTTATTTTATTATATTATAGATAAATGTACTTTATGTTGAACCTCTAATTAAGCTTCTTTCCTTTAAGTTTCTTTCATATGTTTGGTACTTCTCTATATTTTGGCTTCATTTAATGAAAATTCTAATTTCATTGCTAATAGAGAAAGGTAATTTCTGTCACTAAATAATAGAAATACTTATTCCAAACGCAGAGCCAAGGAGGGAGAAGGTTGTTTGAAATTTAAAGTTTATTGGCTCTGAAATTGCTCGTTTTCATTTATTTATTGTGTTTGAAAATAAGTTCTCCTGACACAAATACAAAATCTAAGAAAAAATTACTGAATTCATCTGGACCGCTATCTAATATAGTAGCTCCACATTAATTACACTAATCTCATTTAACAAGTTATTGAAAATTATATTAGCTAGTATGAGTATATATTAATTACTTACCAAATAGCAATTTGTCTAGGATGAACACCCAACTCTTTAGCAAGTTGAAGCTTTTGGTCAAGCTCAAGTTTCTTGGTTGAATCAAAACTTGCTTCTAACCTCTTGACTTGTTCTTGAGTTAGCCTCTTTTTGTTGTGATTCAATATAGATTGATGTTTATGTAGATACTGAGAATGCAAGAAATTATTCATGTTAGAAAAAAATGAAGAAGAGAGTTTGGAACTTGTAATGTTATGATATTGTAATGTTTTTATGTTGTTATATTTATACAAAAAAAAATATTCACAAAGTCTTTAAACCTATTGGTACCTAGCTAGATTAGTTTTGTCATTAAAATATTCTTTAGAATTGTTTTAAATGTTACATAGGGAAGGTTCAAAAAAAAATTATGTAATCGAAGTTTGAAATCAAAATTTTTAGTTTATGAATTCAAAATTTCATAATTTATTTATTTTGAAACGAATATATGTACTTATTAAATAGATTTTTTAAAACACAAATATAGAGTTTAAACTAAGTTTTCTAGGTCTTTTTCGAATTTAGAATTGTCATCGTGGCTCTACCCCTGATTGAGATAAATAGTCAATACTTTTTTCATTTTTAATCAAAGATCTTAAATTTGATTTTGGTTATGAAATTATTTTTGTTAAAAATACTTTACCCTTCAATTAAAATTTTTTAATATAAATTTAATCAGACTTAAATATAAATATCGAAGATTTTCCTACAACCTAATAAAATATTTGTGTAGGGAAATAACTATATGAAGAGGTGGATAGGGCTGACTTCTCATGCAATGAGTTTGATATTCACGTGAAGTTGGTCCTACAATGTTAGTTTAAATAAACTTTTTTTAAGTAAATTAAAATTTAGAGTATTTAATTTTATTATCTTATAAAGATTAAGGAATTGATAATCAAATAAAGTAACAATATCTTTCTATTTTTTAATTAAAAAAATAATAATACCAAATTAGATTCAAATTTTCAATGTCCGTATCATGTACTTGGTCATCTTTTTGTTGCTCCACTAGAATAATTTTTTATTTTTAAAAATAACAGTTCGATATATAAAATATTTTACGTATACATAAAACTTCAAGAATGACTTAATTTTAAGGGGTATATTATAAAGAATTTATTCTAATACAATATTAATAATCATTTTCATAACTCAAATTATATCTATAAATTAGATAAAGATAACTTTACTATTATTCAAACCTTTTTTTTCTAAAAAAAAAAAAAAAGAGAATAGAAAGCAAACATATCTAAAATTAATGTCACCCTTTTTTTTTTCTTGGTAATTAAAGCTAAATTTTATGAGAGCACAGCTGTATGCAATAATTTATATTCTTGATGGTTCTTTTAAAAAAAGAATATTCAGTTTCTTTGATAAATGTATTATTTATTTGAGTTTTTAGGTCAATCAATTTTATGTTGTAGCAAAGCCTTTTAGTTAAAAGGAAAATCTTATCAATATAAGAAAGATACTTTGAAGCACTACTCAAATACAATAACAATATTTATGAATCAATCATGAATAAAATTGGCTCGGTTATATGAATTTTCATCGGTAACAACATATTTAAAAGTTAATATATTCAAAATATCAGATGTCGTTTTTATAGAAGAATATATAAAGTTCAAATCCTCGCTCTGCTTCTATTTTATATTGATCATGTTTTTCTATTTAAATTCTAACTCAATTTATGTGATCCTTGCTTATATCGTCATTCCCAAATTTGGATATGGATAAATTAAAGGATAAGGCTTGAGTAGTACACAACATAAAATTAGGTAATTCATAAAGTAACTAGCCAATAATTTCTAAATTACTTTTTTACACGATTTATTAAGCTTACTTATATTATCGATCTCAAACTAGAATTAAAAAAAAGGTTGAATAGATCAACACCCAACATAAAACTAGCCAATTCATAGAATAGTATACCAATAATTTATTTATCTAACTTTGTTTACTCAACTAATATCCAATCAATTAAATATTTATTTTGACTACTTCTAGTTTAATCTAGTTCTTTTATTTTTCATATTAATATATATTATGTCCCATCACCAATTGGAAATAAATTTTCTTGAAGTGACATTTCTTCTTTTGTTAGAAGTGAACTAATTTTTGTCAAAAACTGTAGGCTGTTGGAAGGGCATAACATTCCCCACAAATTTTATTTTTAAGTATAGAAAAGGGTGGTTGAAATCTTTGTTCATGCACCTGAGGGGCTTATCAAATATTTGATATGACACTACAGATTTCCTTTTGATTGAACAACTTTTTAGACCCCCCCCCCCCAACACACACACACAATACCATAAACAAGAAGATGTTACAATAATGAAACATACAAGTTAGATGCGACGATCAGCTCAGTCGAAATGAAATAAGATAACTCCTTTCCTTGAAAAAATAATACTACAAGAAAGAAGAATAATGAAACATACAAGTTAGATGCGACGATCAGCTCAGTCGAAATGAAATAAGATAACTCCTTTCCTTGAAAAAATAATACTACAAGAAAGAAGATATTGTTAGGATGACAGTCAATTTAGTCAGAATGGAAGCGATCAGATAAGAAACATAGAAGTCAAAGTGTTTGAGTTGTTAGTTACTTATTTTTAAGATATAACTATGAAAAATGCATTTGAAATATTGTTTTTTTTTTTGTCTGAAACTTGAAATACCAACTTTTTGTGTTTTTTACCTAAATTATCAATATATATTTATCACACACATATCTTAAAATTGACTATAGATTAAATGATTGAATACAATCGCCAAAATGTACATGACAACTTAATTTATCCATATGACAACTGACTCGTAAATTTCAAATGTCTTTTAATAAATAGTTAGTAATAGTTTACGTAGAAAACACAAACACCTGATTTTCAAGTCGGAAAGTGATGATTGAAATTTACTTTTTGACCATTATCTTTCTTCTTTTTTATCATATGCTAGAAATTAAATGGTTTCTTTTAAGCTTGATGACTAACATTCTCAATCAAATTGAAATAGGGTATAGAGCACATCATATTTTTTTTAATTATGCTAATTAAATTATGTGAAGAAGATGATGATGGAGACACCATTAGTTTAAACGGTCCAAAGTCCTTTGGATTTTTGGAAGGACCCCATTAGTTGAGTTATTTGTTTATGATATCATAATACAAGAAAGGGAAATACAAAGAACTAATATTAGATTTATGTTTTGCTCAAAGAATCAATGATTTATGACAAAACATTAAACAAACTTATCTGTCACATGACTTGCTACAATGATTACTTAAATAAGAACTAGTTTGATAGGCCCTTCTTCTCTTCATATTCTTTGACCATGCCATTTTTGGCAACTTTATATACAAAAGTATAACAGTAATAAACCTAACATAATCTCGCAAGTGGATTAAGTAAGGTATACAGTAATGTGTACGCAAACCTTATCCTACCTTATGAAGATAGAGGGTTGGTTTCCGAAAAGACCTTCATCTCTTTATATTCAAACATAAACACTCAAATATTTAGGAATTTAACTAGGTGATAACTTTTCACTACATCTAAAGCGTTAAAAGACAAATTTACCTAGTATCTATACTGGGTGGAAAGTAGCAGGTACCTGTGGAATACTCAGATGCGCAAAAACTGGGCAAGAGCATCATTCATTGATGTTATGTAATTTCAAAATCCAAGTTGACAACCTAATCAGTAGACTGAAAATGGATATACTTGAAATGTATCAACGAAAGTTAATCTAATAAGACCTAACTACAAAAAGATCGTATCATGATCTGTCATTCATCAGATCCCACTTGTGGGATTACACATAGTATGTTGTTGTTTGTGTTGTAATACAAGGGATCTTTGTTTTGTATATCGGTAGATCACATCCCCTGCATAAGGCTGGGCTCAATGTATTTTGGCAGCAAAAGTAGCGACTTTTGTCACTCATAGGGCTTAGGAACAAACTGATAAACGGATCGAAATACATGAAGGATTATTTTCTCAAATAAATTACGTTGTACAGACTCTATAAAATGTTGTCACATCTATGGTGGATCCTCCAAAAATGCATTGCTTTTGGAGAATCCGACACACACCCTTCAGCATTTTTTAAGAGTCCGAGCAACATAGCAAATAAAAAGCATCACACATAAAGTTAGGTTTATCTTACTAGATTAAGTTTTCTTTTTATACCATTGATTCCTGCTAGTTTCAAGTTTACTCTTACCAAATATTACCATCTTCAAAGTTAGTACTTTCCAATTCCAAGGGACCACAACTACAACAAAATGGAGGATAATAGTACTAAACCTGGTAGTAGAACTATGAACTTCAACTAGTTAGCACTTTCACTAAAAAGATCCTTTTGTTCACTCCATATTCACCAGCTCATACTCAACAAGGGAGAGATTGTTATCCTGTTTCACTTCAAATGCAGCAGGTTCAGTAACCTCGACGCGTCCCCATTTGTCCACAGCTAGTCTCATGGTGCTTTTGAACATGTCGATCTTAGCATTCCGAAGGATGACAGTTGTATCAGCCTTCATCAGATCAACTGACCACAAAATCGAAGTTAAGCATCAAACAAATCTTTGTTAACACAAGAAGAAACAAAACCAAATACATGGAAGCCACTTTGAGCACTAAACATCATCTGAAATGACAAAGTCACAAAACTGGCTTTAATTTCCAGTGAAGTTGGGGGAGAAGGAAAATGAATAAATACAATTCAGTGGACTCTATTTCCGGATGCCTTCACAGATTACACAAAGTGGTGCTACTTAATCAAAGTTATACTTGACTAATCATATTAATAATCCAGCTTCTTATACAAAGTCAGACGCCATGGTCATAAATATAAATACTCGAAATGCATCAGCATCCAAGTAAACAGGAAAAAGTAGATGGTAAAGGCACAAATGTACAAAATAGAAACTAAAATGAGAAGAAGCACTGACTAGCAGTGATGAATCAAGACATTTGTGATGCAAATATGCTATAGGCTCAGAATGGAGAAGGATGTGACATTAACATCAACTGAGCAGTCAAAAAGGAAATTATTTTTTTCCACAGAAAACACATATAGGTATCAACAATAGATGGATTCATATATCTTGATCAACAATAGAAGGACTCATTAATTACGATGTTAAATGTCTGTGTCTCGCTGTTAGAGCCCTAAACAAACTTTTAAGTGTGTGTAGCGTAATGTTGTGCAACAAATATGATATTAGAGCCAAACAAAATCCTCCTTGCAATGACAGCATCACCTATCATCCTTTCTGATTTCTGAAGAAGCCAAGCACATCAAAAGGTTACAATAGATGAACATCAATTTCATTTTTTAATTAATCCTGCATCAGAACTCAAACATTTACCAAGACACCAAGAGTGGGTAATCCTCCAGTAAGCTGTATTATCTTTCTAACTACTCCAAACCAAACCATTTCTACTAAGAACATTAGCTGCTTGTCTCCTATTTAATTGAGGGTTACAACCATACTAATCATTAGAAGTTCTCTCTAGTCTATACTCCTTTTAATCATTCACAAAAAGCAAAATAAATGGGGAAAAGGTGCTACTCATGCTCTAGCCTTTCCTTCATTATAGATGATATGGAAAGAACATACAACTGAATTTCCAATCAAAGGAGGTTGTAATCATTAACCCATTTTATCAAGCAGGCAACACTATCAAGGATCTTGTATCCACAGTTTGCTTTCATTGATAAATGCAGATTTTGCAAAACCATAAACTCATAAAAGAAGAAACTAGAAAGCTATTCTTATCTATCTCGTTCAGCAAAAACATTTCTTAATTTGGTACCAAGAACCATGTCCTCAATCATTAACAATCAAAAAAGAAAAAGGAAACAATATCCTCTATCGCTATGTGAGCGAGAAAATTTTGGTACTTTGTTCTACTATCATGCAGTGCATCATAGATTCGAAATTAGAACACAATATTCAATGCTGGCGCAAATTTCAAGTGGTAAGGGGTGCAGACTTTCTGACTTCGACCTCACATGTATGTACATATTTGATACTAACTTAATATGCAAAGGTATAAAGTGCTCCATATCAAAACACAAAGAAAAATGTCAGCAAGCAAGATAGAGAAACATTGTATGTATATATTTGATACTAACTCAATATGCGAAGGTATAAAGTGCTCCATATCAAAACAAAGAAAAATGTCAGCAAGCAGGGTAGAGAAATATTGCTGCCTCAACTTATACACACATTCTATTACAAGAAGAGTCCAAAATACATCATGTCATATCAAATGAGATCATCAATTGAAAAATCTGAGCATTGTCAATTCACCAACCTCTCAAAACCAGCACCCTAGGGCTTCCTAAAGGAATTTACAACAATTAGCTCTCCAAAAAGTTTCAATGATAAACAAATGTTGAAAGAATAAAGTAGTGAAGTTAAAGTAGTGTGCTTGATATGCTAAATTATATTAGGACTCTCCTGTATGCAATCTTATAAATACTACATGTATCATAGTCTAATTAACTTACACAGTATTTAAGCAGGCAAAATTTCCTAATTTCCTAATTTCTAAGTCTTACGACCACCTAGTCAACAAAACAATTTCATTTGTTTGGCCCCAATAAAAGGAACAAACTTTTCACATACTACAATAGAAATGCATCTTCTCAGTTAAATTTCGAACAAGTCAAACCTCTCAAAACCAGCAACCTGTGATTTCAGAACAGAAATCACACAAGGATCAACCCTTCAAAAAGCTTTAGTGACAAACTCAACAAAAAACTTAAAAGTAAATGGTCAAAAATACATATAATCTATCATGCTCTCAAAAGTTTCATAATTCAACTGTCTATTGCTCCAATTACCTAACTAAACTTACAATCTCTGTTCGACTGCTGGAATTCTGATTCTCTGTATTTGTTGGTTCACGAGAAAAACATGTCTAATTTTTTTTTATATCAATCACGATTTGACACGTGACTTGAGCTGATTGGGTGTTTTCATTTATTTGTTTCAAAATTGCATTGTTTATTGTTTTAATGGGTGCGAAAAAACTTAAATATCTCTAACGATGCTCAGTATTCAACAAACTCTTCTACGTCGCATGCAATTAGGTGATCAAAATGTCATACTATACATGTTAGGCTCACGATTAGAAAAGTGACATGGGTGTCGGAACTTCTAAAAAGTTACGAGAGAGGGGAGCAGAGAAGGGGTTTTAAGTCTATGTTGCTCGGACTATTCGAAAATGTCAACTAATGTGTGTCAAGGTCTTTCAAAAGTGATGCATTTTTGTAGGATCAGATATGAGTGTGACGACATTTGTAGACGAACAATATAGATTTAAATGAACATTTCTAGCTATTACATGTGTTTTCAAGCTTTCACAAGTAGTATAACAAGTATCTTTCTAGCTTCATTATGTATCAAAGACGAACCGTTATGCAATGTTTGAGAATATCCCACCTAGAGTCGTCAAAATGGGCTTGATCCGCGAGGTCGGTCCAATCCAACCCTTGAATTATGTGGGGTTGGGCCTAATTTTTTTTGGCCCATTTAGAAACGAGGCTTTTTAATCCAGCCTCACTTGGCCTGCTAGCTTCAGAGGCCAGCACGTGGACTATATATATATATAGTAATGTATTATTTGTAAATGTTTTATCAATAAATATGTTAAAAACATAAAAAAAAATCAAGTCTTTTAAACTAGCTTGTTTTTTATGGGATGAATGGTTGAATGATCAACATTTTTTCGTTAAATCTTACGTTGACTATTACGTATTTTTTGTAAGCATTTACCGAACTGTGTGATTCATTAATGAAAATTTGTATGTATTGATGTCCTGTTCATAGACGTCAACATTCGATTCTCTTAGATACTCCTTCTAAGAGGATAATATTGTTTATTTTTTAGTTGAAGGGCCAACCCGTGGCCCGCTTAGGGATGGGTTGAGCCGCTATTGTATTAGCCCTTTAACTAAAAGGGTCAGCCCGCCCCAACCCATTTAACTCTCTAGCCCGTTAGGGTTGGGTTGGGTCAACTCATTTTGACAGCTCTAATCCCACCACTAATTGATCAAATAAAAGGGTAGAGCGGTGCACTAAGCTTTACTACATGAAGGGTCCAAAGAAGGGCTGGACCACAAAAGTCTATTCTGTAAGGTTGTTTTCACAGCTTGAATCTGTCACCATAACTTTACCAGTTACACCAAAGCTCCACTTCCACACGACTAGTCAAAAAATAAAATTTTATTGCACTGTGATTCAAGGTATATATTACACGATATTAGTAAATACAACAGATCTATATTGGCAATTCAATGTGTGATGTAACTTGCCATACGATCAGCCTGTGAAGTTTTATTACTTATTGCTGCAACAATTTATGTAGGCGTTAATCGGAGTAGAATCAATGATGATCATTTTGTTGATACGAATGCCTTTGACAGAACGACTTGAGCCTTCCTAGTGCTTCTTCAAGAGAAGCTGGATCCGCGGCAAAGGTTATTCTAATCCAGTTCTTCAAACCCACAGCAAGTCCTGCAAAAACGTTTCGTTCAGATGAAATCACCTCGTTATAAAGCTGGAATCGTTGTTTTAACTCGATTGTTAGTTGACTAGTTCTTACCTGGAAGGAGTATAACAGATTCCTCTTTCGCCAGTTTGAAACAGAAGTCAATATCATCGCTTATGTCTATCATAAGCGGTAGATGCAGCTTCACCTGCATACATTAGAGATCATCATTTTAAAATCGAAAAGCATATCCCTGATGAATTTATTTGTCTTCGATCTCTCTCATAGCTTACCATTACGGCCATTGATCCTTCTGGTTTATACGGGCAGCTAATACAAGGAATCTCCTTTATCTTATCGCAACAAATGTCTGCAGTCCATTTCAATAAGTTAACCGTCTTCCTGAAGAAAACGTCTTCTGTTTGCTGAATAATGCGAGGGACAGCCGCCTACACAACATGAGATTCAATTACATGACTTGTCTAAAACTCAGAAATGTTGCAGTACTTATTGCATTTACAACTGATCATTACGTAAACTGTAATTCTAATACGCCTTAATCATATACATTCGATAAAGGATACGAGGGATAAAATGCAGAACCTGTATAAAAGTAGCTGGACCTCCGCAAATGTCACAATACTTCTTAATACGTTCAACAAACTGAAAACAATTTCATCCATAAGTCGATACAGAGAGAACGAAAACAGAGATTTCATCTCTAAGCACTTGATCATGTCGTGTTTAGTACAAACCTTTGGATTTTTGAAGGTGCCATTAGGATCATTTGTGACAAGCCAACCAAGACGCCAGCCAGGGACTAACCATCGCTTAGACAAAGAACCGAGAGTAAGCACAGGAGCAATGTCTCCGAAAATTCCCATTGGTACAAAGGGGTTAGCCCCAAAAGCAAGATGACCATATACTTCATCCGCGATCACTATAGTCCTAAGCTTCTTAGCAGTTTCCGCAATCTGATTTAAACACACAAAACAAGTTCTCAAAATTAATACAGAATGCTAAAAGGAAAAAAACAACCGTTGAATTAGTCGAGATGCACACAAACTAGCACAGACACCACGGTAATTAAAAAAGGGATAGTAAGAATAACCTGTTGAAGATGCTGGTAACTATAAACATTTCCACAAGGATTCCCAGGATTTATAACAACTATTCCGATCGTGTTATGATCTGCTAGAGCTTCAACAGCATTGAGATCAACCTCCCAGCCTTTGTCTGGAATGAGATCAAAGTATCGAACTTCGATGTTTCTAAATGCAGCACACAGTGCATAAATTGGGAAACCAGGCCTCGGTAGCAATATGTTAGCACCAGGGCGAGCCAGAATCGACAATGCTAATTCAATGGCTTGGGTGCAACCAGCTGTGATATAAACATCATCTGCACATAACTTTTCGGGGAGCTCACGCGACAAATAATCTGCAATCGCCCTGTTCGATCAAAATATATGGATCAATAAATTAAAACAACGTAACCAACTAGTAAAACATCGAGGGTACATCTAAGCTGACCCGGACACCATAATTAAAACAACAACATACCAAGCGTAACACCGCACATGGGGTTCCGGGGAGGACAAAGTAGAGTAAAGTATACACCAACCCTACCCCTATCTCATAGAGATATAAAGATTATTTCGCGATAAACCATCAGGTTGAATAAACCACTTCCAAAGAGTTTGAAAAAGAGAATACATAATGAGAACAGTAACAACAACAAAATAATTCAAAAGTAGCACACAACATACACCAATAACAACAACGAAAGAATACAATAACGGGAAAAACAACAAATATATCCCCGAACTATCATAAATAGTGTGCAGATGCCTTTCGTCATACTTTTGGGACATTTGTGTCCTCTGCGTCCAAAAACTAGAACATATGTGTCCTTCTCTCGTACGGAAGACTAAATAGGGACACGTGGCACAATCTTATCCGTCGATCCAATTTTACTAAATGTCGGGTCGGTAGATAAAATTATGACACGTGCATGTCTGTTAGTATAAAGGATACATATGCTCCAGTTTTTGAACGATAGGGGCATCAACATCCCAAAAGTACAACAGACTGTATCTCCGTACCATCTAAGATAGTTCGGGGTATATTTGTGCTTTTTATTTACAATAACTAAACACCACTATTATTAAATAAAAACTAGAGAAATTAAGTTGCAAGCTGGCCCGTGCACCACAATTACTACAACAACAACAACAACATACACAGTGTAAACTCACAAGTGAGGGTGGGCAAAGTAAAGTATACCTCTCTGGAAGAAGTTATTTCTGATAGACCTTAGTTTAAATAATGTATTTCCAAACGGTTTGAAAAAGAAAAAAAAAACATAACAATAATGCAATAAGCGAAACACTACTATTTTTTTAAAAAAGAAAAAGTGAGGAGGTGGGGGTCAGAGGTACTTGTTGGTATTGACGCAACAACTACTGCAATAACACATTCAGTATAATTTCATAGAATAACAACGGAATAATACGATAATTTAAAAAAGAGAGTTGAGGGCACATTTACTTTCTTGTTTGAGGAAGTCCCACAGTAGGTGAATAACCATTGAATTTGTGAGAAGTAAGAGATTCAATAACAGCATCATGTGCAACATCAGGTGAATGAAAACAAGAATATAATGTTGGGTCACCCATTCCTAATGATATAACTTTCTTCACATCTGTTGCCTCTGTATTTGCCATTAACAATCCAAGAATCCCTTTGATTGTGATGTTGTTTGGGGTTTCCATTTCAACTTGATTGTTAATTGCTCCAACCAAATTGCCTTCCATTACTGAAAATTACAAAAGAGAGAAAAAAAAAATGACAAAAGCAAATAAAGTTTCAATTTTTATTTGCTTTGTATTTAGACCACTCATTTTTGACTTATTATATAGAGGTTCAAGATCCACTTTTTTTTTTTTTAATTGTGTTTGGGAATTTTGAATCTCACTAACTTCATTAAATTATTAGATACTCAAAAGTTTAGGTGATTCCATTAGTTTAGATTCACATGCCAAGCTCTCGTCATTGATCGGTCTGAAGCAGATCTAAGATTTAAATTTTATGAGTTTGAGTTCAGACTTAGTTGGTTCGAGATTTAAACTGTATGAGTTTGAATTCAGAATTAGTTGATACGTCATGAGTTTGAGTTTAGGTTTTGTTGATTCAAGAGTTGAATTTCATGAGTTCGAGTTCAGAATTAGCTGATTCAGTTTATGTGGATTTAGGTTCATTAAGGGGTAAGAAACTTACTACGTAGTCTAATTAATTTAAATTCACGTTAAGTATATTTATTGTGAGATGAAGAGTTTTTTGGTAATAGGAGTGGATTCACG